GAAATTAAATTTTTAAGCTAATAATATTAATATTTCATTGGATGTTCAGTCATTTAAAAAAAAAATTTGTCAAGATAATTAAAGATGAGGATGAAAATGAAAAATACTTACATAACATTTTAATTAAAGGTTCAAAGATAACAAAAATGGATTAATACATATTTACTTCTTTCGTCACGACTATTATAACTTTAATGCGTGACTGCTTGAGCATTCGAGTTTGAGCAAATTGAAAGTAGGAGCGTATTTCAGCTGTTAAAATTGTCAATTACCTTGTTCATTAAAATAAAAAAATGTTTTTTAGAATTAAAAAAAATGTCTTATTAAGTGAACAACGTTTAAAACATTCCATAAGATTTTTTAAAATATTATTTTATTTTCGGAAGGTAGTTGAGTCATTCATTCATTCATTCATTGGCAGACATTCTTCACGCTTAATTGCCTGAAACGTGATGAATGTTACAAATTATTGCTTGAATTTAAACTTGACATTTCCGGTGGGCATCAACATAACTTATTAGTCATATACATTACTTATTATAAATTTACATTACTTATCATAAATTAACATTACTTATCATATATTAACATTACTTATCATGAATTAACATTACTAATCGTAAATTAAACTTACACATTATAAATTAACATTACTAATAATAAATAAACTTTGCGTATTTATTATAAATTAACGTTACTTGCAAAACATTAACATTTATTATTATAAATTAACATTATTTATCATGATTGTTCGAAGGTCTGTTTAAACATTCGAACAATTATATTTCATCAAATGTGTAGCTATACTGAGAAAATTTTTTACTTAGAAATAATTATTTGGTTTCTTTTTTGAAAAATCTGAAACAGTTAATCAAATTAAATTTGAGTCAAATACAAAAATGCGACAAAATGAATAAAAATAAATTTTATTATTCAATTAAATTAAAAAAAAAAACAATTTTTTATCATCACCAATAATAATTAAAAGGAGGAGATGCTGGTTTCGATGGTTTCTTAAATTAATTTAATAGTGAGAACATTCATCTACGAAGACGGAAGTTTAACTCGAGCTGGAGAGTTTACGTTCGTCCCAGCAACATTCCAACTCAGAAAATGGTGCAAGAAGATGTCTGGCAGTGTTGGAAAGTTGACAAGTTACTAAGGACCTTATAGCGTTCATCCATCAGCACATAATAACGACGAAACCGTCATTATCAGTAGCAATGCATTATAAGTAGGGCCTGATGGTTTCATAAATACACACACACCACACGACACACACACAAACACGACACACACACGCATACGGCATACGCACACAAAAATACACTGAATACTCCTATCCAGCCTACTTTACATATTAAATCAACAAGAGTGGACAAACGTGAAATCATCGAATGCACAGAAACTTTTGACCGCACAAAACTCATGCGATGAAATAAAAAATAAAATATATGATAGTGTACAACACTCGCATACGACAGGACGCACAAGTATGGCGCTATATAAATTGAACACGTGAGGTAGCACGTGACTGCAATATTAAACGCGCCAAGAAGTCAGAAATAAAAGAATGAACGTAGTGCGCCATTTTTTTCAATTTATTTCATCCTATTCTTTAATCTGTCCGTCGCTTTCTATGGCAGTCCTTCATTTTCCGTTCCTTCCAACCTTCAGTTCCTCAATTCATCCACCCACACCGAATACACTAACTTCTGATTTTTTTTATGCTTTATTTTCAAATATATTTTTTGCTACATTGAGTGCTGACCTGGTTCGAGCGCAAGCTGTTCCAAACGTTAGAACTATCCCAAGCTTAAACGATCCCAAACTACCCCCCATAAAATACACACACACACACACACACACACACAAACACACACACACACACACACAGATGTATGTATGGCCTACGCTGTAGATGTTAAAATCTTTGTAAACAAAAATTTTAATTGCAATAATTATTTAGTAAGGAAGGATGTGATATCATCTTCATGCTTATCGAGGCAGCATACTAAAGAACCAAAAACAAGGGTTAAATTGTGTTTTTATTGGTTTTAATTTTTGTATAAAAAACGCGTAAAATATTTTTAATTTCATTAAATATTATATTTTTCGAAAAAAGTTTCGCATATTTAAAAAAATTTAAAACAAGCAAGATTACTTGCCTGCAATTATGCTTGCTCAAAATGGCTGCTGGCCAGACAAGATGTTTTGTAAGCACGTACAAGCCGGAAACAAACGACCTCTTTTATTGTGGTTTATATTCGGATGTTGATTTATTGCTTCTGTACGTGTCTATCTGCGTGCATATTTACCGAACGCAGCAGCGCATTTCCGCGTCTTCCCGAACTCACATCAGCGTTCGTCTCAAATTTATGCAAGAAATTGCCTGCCTCCTGAAAATGTTCGCTATTGAAACGTTGTTTTTCTTAAACTCGTACCACATCAATACTTACTGCTAATTATTGTATTGATTCAACTGCATTGGCTTGTATCAGGCGGTTCATGTAGCAACAAAGGTAACATGTTTTGTTTGTCAACAATGACGTTATATTCGAATGAATGCTAATTCAAAAATATTCCAAAGCATACATACATATGCGCATGTATAAATAGAGGGTTGTACCAACATCTAGGCTGAAAATATGCATGTACAGTAATTTACACTTACGCTAACAAACACGTTCAACAAATGCACAAAGCATGCTTGTATCAAATATTGGTGGCAAAACCAATTAGAACAAACACAAATTAATGGAAAAATAAGAACGAACGTGTGAACGTGCAAACAAAAATTCAAGCAAACAAATTAAACAACAAACGAACATACAAACAAACAAACAAACGATCAAACAAACATAGGCACGAAGAGAAATAGAGATAAATATGAAACAATGGAAAATATAACGACGAACTATCCATCCATCCCTGGCGAATAATGCCGACACCACTATTTACGACTACCGAGACATTATGTCTCTCTCTCTCGCTAACATCTCTCTCTTTCTCTCTCTCTCTCTTTATTTTTTCTTTTACTTTCTCTTCGTCTCTTATCTTTCCATATGATTGTATTTTCCTTTATTTCCACGCGAGCATAAATACACATAGATATCCCTTTCTATCGGAGCATCCATCTTGATGGTCACGTGACAATGACGTCATTTATAAGCGCGTCATTACAAACAATGGGTCCAGTATGAAAGATGTTCCTTCTATTTTTAAAATGCAAAGTTTGGTAGCTCGTAATGAATGATTTAATGCAATTTTTTGAGGTAATTAACAATAAATTGCTCTTCTTTGCTGGACGTAAATATGATCAGTCTCGTGTAGTTGTATTTTTTTATATGTACCGTTGTTCTCTCGAAGATGATTGGTTCGCAACATTAATCTATGTTGATTATTATCTAATGTTTGGTATCAAATAAATGTTTATGTGTTTATAAATTTATTTTGAAAAAATGCTGATTCATTAACGAATAGATAAACAAAATGAGACTTAACAAATTATCTGTCCAAATAACAATCAATAGCAAACAAAAACAACGACATCAACCAGCATCAAACAACAACAACATCAGACAACAAACAACAACAACCACAACCACATAACCAACTCACCCACTCCAGATGAAACCAAAGACATAACTCAGCATCTTCTTACTCAGTTCCTTGTCTTCAGCCGTGTAAGTGCTCTTAAAAATACCGAGACCGTCAACCAACGGGGCGGCGAACAAGTAGGCGAGTTCCATTCCTAGTCCGTCTGGGAAAAAATCTGATAAATTTTGTTGCCGCTGATGTTGTTGTTGTGAATATTGTGATTGATGTTGTGTCGAATACTGTAATTGGTGTTGTGGATGTCGGCCATCTTGTTTTTGCCATTGTTGTTGCTGTTGTTGATAATTTAATTGCTGTTGTTGATGTTGATGTTGTTGTTGGGAAGAACTAAAATGATTCACAAATCCGTTACCTCTTGCGGAATATTCGTTAGAAGCCGTCTCGCTGTCGGCAACTTCCTCTTTATTGTTTTGTCCAAAACTGAAGAAAAACGTCGACGACTTAACTGGGGCGCAGTTGGAATGAATTTTAGCTAACTTGATGGCTGGAGCAGCAAACAGACCGTCAGTTAACAAGTCGATTAAACTTTTTTCAGGCGTCTTTCCATCGCTTGGTTTTTCCCATTCATAATAATTGTGACCGAGAATGTCGAATATTTTCTGTCGGTGGTATCGATAGTTGTTCCTGACGTAGGTTCGCAGTATCCTTGCATTGCGTATCCCGTCATCTTCGTTTGGGTTTGCGAAGGGGATGTATTGGTTTCCGGATGTTTCCGTCAAACCGATCATCAAAGGGATTGATCCAAAATTATCCAACTGAATATCGGTGTCAATTTTTTTAAAAGTGGAAGGTCGTTGTTTTGGAGGTTGTAATTGTGGCTGGGGACGATTGGAATATTTAATCTTTTTGAGATTTTTGTAACGCTTCTTTAAAAATTGTTTTTGCTGCGATTTCTGCTTGTTGATATTTTCTAAATAATTCGATTTGCTTTTTCGTACTTCTGCCCATCCAGATTTTTCACTTTTATCCAATCGAATTTGTTTATGTAAACTTTTCGCAGCTTTGTGATATTTCTTCCTGCAGTTGCGCACGGTCAGACGCTGCAGTGATGAGGTAATTAAAGAGCGACTGTCGACCACAGGTCCGAACGTTGGCGAATACTTGGGTCCGCTGAGAATCGTGTTGACGATCGCATCAAATTTTTGCGATTTTAGGCACAGAACTAATTGTTGGCTATAATCAGACGATGAAGACGACGAAGATGGTGACGAAGACGATGATGATGAAGATTGTGAGTGTGCTGAAGAATTTTTATTGAGTGGATCTGCAATGTAAACATTGTTACTAAAGGAATTATTTGTACCTACTCCATCGTGAGTGTCGTCATGTGGTTGGGCCGAAGGAGGTACGAAGTTAACTTCTGAAGATGGCGTTAATGTTGTGGAACAGTTCAACATGTTGGCGAGTTGTTGTGTGTACAATGTTGGGTTGTGTTGAAGGGACCAGCTGGAGAACGCTGTACCCCCCAATAAAATCAACCGCTGAAAGAGAAATTTTCCTGTGTTGTTGGTAATGATAATGGTTTATTTTTGGCAATTAATTTATTTTTAAGTAACAAATAAATTTCTTTTTTTTTGAAAATTCAATAAAAAACTTTTCCCCACTACAATTTGTTATCCATTCTATTTAATTCATACGGTCATTTCATACGGTCATTTTAAAAGAAGATTTTTGGACGCGTGTACAGTACACCTAATTTAAATAAAATCTCGACCGGCTTATGGTAAGACTTGTAGCTTTTCTTATCAATGAAATTTTATTTTTGTTTCATTTGAGAAACAAAAGTATTTTTTTAAAATCTTTCCGTAAAATAGATCTTCATATTATGAATTTAAATTTTTATTTATATGCCGAGTTAGTATAGTGGTAGTGAGCCCGGTCTTGCGTTCCAGTGGTCGGATTCAAATGCACACAAACCTCCGTCTCTCATACATCAGCGTGAAAGATCTGTTATTCTACAGACATGCACATGCATACGATGTGTTTTTCAAACTTCAGATAGAGCCCTTCAACACTACGGGTATAGCGCTAAATAAACAAGATGGATTAATTGAGGGTTTCTCTGATACTTACACGAACAACAAAAATAGTTGACATGTATAAGCCACAATATTACGTTAATAGTAACACAACTTTAAACTCCTCTTGCTAATTTTAACAAATTTAACCGTTAAAACTTCCTACACAATTTCTCGCACAGTTTAATTTTCATAAACGCATGCAACAGATTTTCAATATAATACTACAAATATATTAAGCTTAAGTTTTTACTTCTAATCAGTTGGGAATTTAAGGGAGGGCCGGGAAAACTACGTCCCCCCCGTCAGCAGTATTTTAACAAAAAAATCAGTGAAACTTCAGCTTTTACAAAGAAAAACACCGTTTAAAGTTGAAAATTGATTAAAAATTGACAAGATAAGCAAAAAAAGTAGCCGAATTTTAATGAACGCCTGTGTTAAAATGATAAAAAAAATCACAATCAGTCAGTGTAAATAGTTAGACAAAACCATTTGAAAAATAACAAGGCAATGAAATACTACAAAAAATATTTAGTTTGTAAAATAAACAAGAAAACTGACAGAAAAAAAATTTCGCCGAAAAACGGTTTGGACACTGATTGACAATTTGACAGTAGGTATTAAGTCAGGTTAGGCTATCGAGAAAAACATTTTAAAAAATAAATCACACTATCTACACTGAGTTTGAAACATTTTACTCTCGACAATCTTTTAAATATTTAAAGAGCTCATTTTCGATTTCATTAAAACAAATCTTTGCCGTGTTCGTTCAGATTAAAATTTTCTCATTTTAAAATAAATAAATACCCAATTTTTTTCATATGATGATGTCATATGATGATATGTTGTTAGCATTTTGTCTACCATTAAGCATCTTATTAAATATTAAAAATCCATGTCAATACCGGCACTGTTATTAAATTATGTTGTTAGTTTATCAGGCAGTTGTATTGTTTATGTTGCATGTTTTGAAGATCGTGCAACACCGTTTTAGTTAGTTTTATTCATTATTATTTTTATTATTAACTGTTTTGCTTGGTAATTTGACAAACAACTCAGTGTCGTATGTTGATACATGAATATTTAATTATTTTTATGGCCATTATAGTTTTCAAGTAGCATTTTATAAAAATTTTTGCAGATTGGTTTAAAATTTGAGAGGGTAAAGACGAACCGTTGTTCATCCATTCGCACACACAAACTAACACACACACACCACACACACACACAAACACACACACACACACAAACACACACACACACACACACACACATACACACACACACAAACACACACACACACACAAACTAACATTCAGAAACCATCACAAATCCAGTCAGCTGAAAACCTCAACAATTACTCAGACATACAAACATATTTCCTAACAAACTTACGCGAATTCAAATGAAGGACTTTGAATAGACGCATACGCGCCGACACACGCAAGTATTTCGAGATAAATACGTAACGTATATAAACGCAAACGAATGCGAACGAAACTAGACTCGGAGACTGATAGATTCATACAGATGTAGACAAAGGTTATGCTTTATTGAATGGACGATGGTAGGGAGGCGAGCAGGCAGGCAGACAAGCAGGTAGACAGGCAGACAGACAGACAGAGAGACAGACAAACAGGCAGGCAGACATATGATGGCGTTGCGACTCCTTCTTAAGATTGATACAGTTGCGGTCAAAAGTTTCACTCGTTGGTGACGCAACGAATCAATAATAACTTGCTTGTGGATATTTCTTCCGAGGTTTCAGCTGGTCGCAGAGATAATGATGATTGTTGGATTATAAGGAGAAAAATGATGATGATGGGAGTGATACGAATGACGGCAATGATGATGTGTATGATCAAAAAAAAATAGGATGTTATAATAGTCAATGCTGGTTGCTAGCTGCAAGTTGCGGTGTTGCTGGTTGCGTGTTGCTGGTTGCGGTGTTGCTGATACATAGTGATGATTGTTGTATATTTGTTTGAGAAATATTTAATATACGTTATTAAATGACAATAGGAGCAAAAAATGTCAAGAACTTGTAGATTAATTTTTCAGGTTGTCATCAAATTAATTCCTACGCTGGTTTTCAAGGAAGAAAAAATTCCGGTTGCATGATGCAGACGAAACATTATAATTGAATTAATTAAGATCATTTCGTCTCTACTAGTCATGTTTCGAAACATAATTAGGAGCATGCTAAGTAGGATGTTGTTGATGGGTGCCTGGCTGACTGGTTGGTTGGTTGGCTGGTTGGTTGGTTGGTTGATTGGTTGGATGGTTGGTTGATTGGTTGGTTGGTTGGTTGGTTGGTTTTTAACTGGTTGGCTGATT